GAGTTGATCTATTCAAATAAGTCTACAATCGTAAATCTTCACTGTGAATTTGGACTACCATCGTTGATTTATACAACAAATGTTTTCATCTCATCAAAATCGTCTTAACTGGTCCTTGACATTAGCTTCTACCTGAATAAACGACCCTTGTGACTCGTCATAGATATTTAGAAGTTTCTTTGACTGACATTGTTGCCATTACGGAATCGATGGGTAGGCGATTCCGTAATGAAAAATGAGTTACTACTATTTTATTGTTAGTAAGGACAGGGTAGATAGCTTCAGCTTTGCTGTACTCTGTAGCAGTACAGTACATTGCAGTCTTAAATAGTGGCGATAAATATAAAAAATGAATTTTGTTAATAAAGGAGTAGTTTAAGTCGTATGGTACCGCGCAGCAGTGCAGCCAAGATACTATGAAAGCTCTGTTTAACGACCTTAGTTATTAAATAGATAAGCTCAGTTTGACGAATCAACGTTCCATATAGTTAATACTCAGAGTTACCCAATAGTATGATGCATAAAATATTTTACAAGCATAGGATTTATTTTGCGAAATCGACCTTTACTGCAGATCATTCTCCTTGCAAAAATAGTTGACTTTATTTGTTTTCGTTTGATGGGCAGAAACACAGTCTATTGGCTACAAGTCGTGAGGCCATACAGGCCTCAGTGGACACGGATTGAGTTTCCCAAAAATAATTTCTAAACTTAATTTAAAGTCAAGAGATTAGTACAGCTTTTTTAACGTTATACCTAGTTGACCCGAACTCCTCTCATGTCTCAGTAGAATCTACTGTGATTCTATTACAGATTCCTGTGAGGACATTAAATGGTTGCACTGCAATATGTATGTAGCTTACAACGTAACAATTCCAACCCGACATGCGACTATAAATGAAGCATGTGCCACAAGATACAATTCTCTGTGGGCGTGTACTACCGTATCGTTACTTCCCTTTTATTTCACCCGTAAGTTAAACGAGACCTATTATGTGATATGACTTACTGTTTCGAGGGTATCACATTTTTCTATTTGTATCTGCACGAGTGCATCTACCCAGGCATCATTGTTGCGCACTGATTCAGCAGCTAAGAAAGGAAAATGATTTACCATAAAGATTGAAGTTAAGTTGCTGTTTTTACGCTATCTGTTGTATCGAGACAGCGGAAGAGATCCCTTCTAAAAATCCCCATCTTCAAGCCGGAACCTAGCTAAAATGGGTGTGTGTCGAATAAACTTGCACAGAAGAAACCCTGAATGGCTGGGCGGAATACAGACACAGAACAATGCTTCCCGTACAGAGCAACACCCCACGCTCAGAACGACGCCCCAAGTTATCGCAACGCGGCCACCCCTCTTGACGATGTCGGGAAAGCGGGAAAAATAGAGATTTACGCATGCGCGCAGCTGCGTCATTTCTTCCGATGACCTTGAGACTGGTCCTTCTCCGACTTCTCGACTTCTGTCTGGCTCTCTTTAGGCACGCCAAAAAGAGTCGAGCCAGCAGACCTCAGCAGTTTGGGACCAGTCCACACGAACAGAAAACCATCGCTATGGAAAGGAAACAGAAATTTATCTCGATTCTTATTCCATACCATTCCATGTAGCTTGCTTCAGTTCTGGCTATTTCTTATTAGGTTTCGCTTTCGTTCCAGTCAGCTTATTTATTAGATCTAGAATTGCTGCAGCCTCTGGGTACCCAGGTATAAGAATGTATTATAAATGCTTGATAAAGTAAGTTATCAAGAAGGCTAAATGTCATATCATAAATAGTCGCAATTTTAAGCTTACGTTGTTTATACGAATATGCTGTATCCATACAAATTAGCATCGACATCATTATCATTAGATTACCCGATTTATGCAGCTATTAGATGGATATTTGATTTAATCCGAAACATTATGTTGAGTGTTTTCAAATAAACTATTTTACTTCTATCCTGTAAGCGCGAAGCACACTTGGAGCCTTCAACTCCACGCAACACGTCGATGCTAGTGCTATTACGCGGATTTATGATAAAATTTATTATAATGTGTGAAATAGCATTAACACGTTCGCGTGCATCTACTAAAAATAAGGACACTATTTAGATCGAAAATATGTCTAATAAACGGGGAATATGTGGGACACAAAACACCTGAGATAGCTGTTGATGATATGGCTGTGATTTCCATTTGCCAGGCTAGGTGAAAATCACCTCAGACTAAAGAGTTATTAAAAAAAAATAGGTCAAGATAACGTAATTCACATGCAATACATCTTTTCTGTCTTTCATAACATATAGACCATAATTGAAAATATTTTTCCTCATCTATCTGCTTTCTTTAAAATACGGATTTAAGATGATAACCAAGGGTGAAGTTCACAGCTCATAGCGATTTGAAATACTCCGCGCGATTTAGGCGACCGAGGTGTGTTCTTGTTAAGCCCTGTTACAGTATGATGGTTTCAGAATTTTAATCCGCTGCCATAACAACATGGCGAGAAAGTGCTTATATTCTTATTTGTTTTCCTTTCTTTGCCACACCAAAATCTGCTGTAAATTTTGTATCAAATAAGGCTGGCTGCTCGGTCGACATATTAAGCAGGTCGAAAAGCACCCTGGTTCATGCCAGTCTTCTTAGTTTTTGGGTTCTTAATTACTGGGTCACTAGCATGAGTAAAGTTTTCATCAAGTAAATTATCTCGCAATTTAATTACGTTTAATTTTTCACTGAAATAATATATTTTTATTCTAGTCAATTGCGATACCAATATTCTATTAGGTAACAATCGAATGTGTATAATAAGAAGTTTGACTGGCTAATTGATAAACAAGAAGGAAAATAGGATAACCGATCTAAAGTGTATAACTATGATGTTATTATAGTAGTATGACGATTGCATAAATGCATCATGCCTACTCAGGTGATCGTATGATCGCAGGATAACGCAGTCCTCCACAAATACTAGTAGTTGAACTAGATGTTATAAAAAATGAAAATAATCAATTATTAAGCTTTTATGTGCCCTCATCTCTTTATACCCGAAAATCAACAATCCTACGAAAGCCTAAACGTTTTCACTCATAAATGGTAGTACGCTGGTAAACATTTCATAACATAACATCATCTACATCAAAGCCTTAACCCTATCGCTCCACAATAGTCAGCTTCTTCTCCTTCCCCTTTACTGCTGCAGGTATATAGAGGCGAAGAAACAAGGTAGAATTATACCCAGGAACCCCATTGCAGTTAACTGACAGGAGAATGCATCAAATCAAGGCAGTCAGTCAAACAGGATAAATAGAATGAGAGGAGAATGAAAGAAAGACAGCAATCGACAGGAGATGACATAAAAGGAACACAGAGACGGAACAACGAAGCCGAAGCCAATGGCAGATGCGTGCTGGTTAGGTTGTGGCTTCAGCGACAGCAATGGTGAGTGCCGAAAAGCTATTATAGGATAGCAGGATTCTGGACGAGTGGCAGAGAAACAAGGCCGTTGATGGGTTGGCGACGCTCAGAGGAAGTAACAAGGTCGGAGCGTAGGAAAAACGAAAATTCGGGGTAGAATGGGCTTGTTAGGAAAAAAAACGTTAAGGAAAGAAGCGAGAATCTCCTTCGGGTAAATATACGAACAGGTTAAGTGAAGTGCTAGCTAGTGGCCGGCTTCAAAAGGTAACCACAAAACAGCCGTATAGACAACGCACGAAGGCAGGTAAAAGCTGCTGCATGCGACAGGAAAACTGGAAGCCGAGAGGGAGGAAACGAAATTGGGCTGAATTAGGTCGCGGATTGCAGTACCGTTGGGAAATAGAAAACCATCTGAAGTAGATCGGAGAGATTCGAGAGGCAAAAGGTTGGACCCGAAATAGAATGGACGGAAAAACGACGCATTGGGAAGGACCACTCATCGGGTGAGGGTAAGCTAGAACAAGGGTGAGGGAATTTTTTAGATAGCATAATGGACTTACAGGATTCCAGATAAAATAGAAGGACAGGGTAAGTAACTAGGTGACGCAGAAAGAAATACAGGGAGCGTAACAACTGTGCGCTAAAATGGATAATTTAACAGGATTAATCTAATTGAAATAGAGGGAAATATTTTGTTAAAATGAATGTTTTGATAAAAGATTTCTAGTGATGGCGATATTATTACAGTTTATCCGCTAATTTTCTAGTCAATGGACATTTCGACGCTCGCTGCGTTTATGAAATACTGAGACGTTCGGGAACAAAAGTAGCCTATAGTTGACATAATTTGGGCTTCGGCGGAGACAGAAAATATCTACACACGCACACGCTGCGAGTGGACTGCTCGGAGACAGTTTTAAATTTTAGGTACAGTACCCGGTGTTTACTGAGCGTGAAATAGAAAAAAATATAGCGAATCGGTACCTAAACAGTTGTTCTTCCTTGAAGTTTTTAGAGAATGCCTTTTTGCTGCAAGTCATATCTCTCAAGCGGTTAGTAGCAATAAAACCTCCTAGAATTCGCGAAGTAGATTTCGTGACTTGCTTCTGTGCAGAATTGTGATCTCCGGTAGGTTGTTTCTATTTATTACACAAGATCCGACACAAAAAAGTAGACAGCGAGAGAACATTCGCTCCATATGTACGCCGCTTGTTTCCTACGATACTCTAACCTGCTAGTTCATAAATCTCTACGTGTATTATAAAGAACAAGGTCATAGGGTGATGCTAAAAAATGCTGGAATCGATATCTTTGTTCGTGGACAAATACTCTAAAATATCTCAGCAGCATTTTTTTAATTTCTCTTGTCTGTCGAAAGACATACTCTAATGCGTTATTTTTCGACAAAATTGTGACATACGGTACACGCTTATTAAATAAATACACTTTTAATTTGAATCAGTTCCTTTCTGTGTGATTTAATACTTTTAGAAACCGCCATATATATATATATATATATATATATATATATATATATATATATATGGTTAAAAAGGAAAATAAGGAATCGGCTTATATTTTGTTGCAACGTATGCTCGTATAGATTTTATTTTGCATATGTGACACTGGTCGCGATGCTGTCACTGATTATTCTAAATCGCTCATTGCTGAGTGTTGCTCACGTACTATGCACAGTAATATATAGTCAATGACACTATGCACAATTAAATCAATTTTTTATATAGATGCACCGATTTCGTACCTACAAATCAGTGCTTCAATGGTATACTTTTCTATGAGGTTCTTTCTATAGCACAAGTACTACACAAAAACATAGAATTAATAAAATAATTAGGTAGGAATACATTTGTAAATATAGCACAGCTCATGATACTTCGAATCTATTTACGTGGATACGTAAATCTTGACTAATGTTACCCACGGTAATTCATCACAAACGAGTTTCCGAGTATATGATCTAACCTGATTATGTACATAAATATCAATATTTGAACATAACATAACATAACCGCTTATTTTTAGTTTTTGTTTGAAAGATCAAATTAAAAATAAGCTTCAAACAAACAAACAAAAACAACGCTTCATTCTTCTTGTATGTTCAGGCACAGAGCATCGATTGGTGTTCAAGATGTTTGCAGCCAAACGTACCCTTTAGTTGAGCGATTTCTGTATACGCACAATGTGTATAGACATGATTCTTATAATTTGCACGTAATTGCAGTGTTATAAATAAAAAATTTACTATATCACAAAAATGTTAAAACGACTTAGGTTTTTCATTGCATATGCATTATTTGAGATTTGTATTACATTAATTTACTACTCTTTGGAAATATTCACACAATTCGAATGCACATTTTACTATCTATGTTTACATACATTACTTCAGGGAGTGTCTACATGGGAGATAGAAGCTCTTTCATTGAGAAAATAAATATATTTTTATAAATATCGAGCAGCTGTCTGTTGTGGAAACCACAGTCAAATATGAAATCACAAACTTATTGACTGATTACCGCCTTCAGGGCAATATAATGTAAATGGTTGTTTAGCTTTATTTTACTTTAGTAAAAGAGTTGTTGTACCATATCTTACAGCTAGTTTTGTTTTTGCTTATCCGTTTGCTTGTCACATCTGGAAGCGGCATGCTGACATAACTTCTGCTACCTCGTTACCAAGAAAACCAATTAACTTCATGCAGTTCTATGGCTGGCCTTTTCAAGACTGGTAAATACATTTTTGGTGTAAACGTATTGTTTATATATTCGACATTGAGGCTGCCATTATTAGTAATGGTAATCATAGTATATATGATAATTTTATAGTAGCTAGTAATGGTATATTGCATAATGTTGTACCACCAGAGAGCAGGCCACCACACATATAACTAGGCTCCTGTTGTTTGGTTCACACCGTATCACGTTCAACCTTCACGGCTCCAGATTCCTTTTTTGCGCTCGTGGCTGTCGCCGCAGGTCGCTGCATCACGGGGTTCATACCGACACCAGCTACTGAAGCTCGAACAATCATTGTTTGAGCGGCTGGTGCCTGAACTCGTACAGGTTTTTGTCCTGAAGTAGGCGCAATAGCCCTAACTGAGTAAACGCGAGCATGTGTCGGTGGTGAAGGGCGTGCAGCTGGAGGTCGAGGGGATTTAGGTACCGGTGTAGTGATTGGCGTAGGCCGAAACGCTTTAACTGGTCCACCCGGTGCAGCAACGCAGGCCGTAGGCCCAGGGGTTCGCGGTACCATTGGAGTATACCTTGAAGTTCGCATTGGCACCACGAGACGAGGCGTCGTCATCGATGTTCTTATCCCAGGCGGTCTAGGTGCCGTGGGCCGTACGCGAAGTCGTGGCGGAACCGGAGCCACTGGTCGTGGTACTGTCGAATTCGGTATCGTCTTTGCTGTCACTGCTGTTCCTGCCACTGCTACAGTGCCCACAGGCATACAGGCTTGTGTTGAGCTCGAAGCTTTCTCCTGACTAGGTGTAGGCATTTCCGTGCTAATTAGGTTATTAGCTGCTTCTACTGTGGCCTCAGCAGTGGCAGCTTTAGCAACCAACCGGGCGGTCGCACTCCCTTTGGTCGGACCACCGGAGCGCCGCAATGTAGCCGGGCCCTTTCGCGAGCTGCGAACAACAATTGGCCGTCCGCGAGGCGTTGCAGGGCTGGCCGAACAATCTGTTTGTGAAGTCGTAGGAGCGGGCGCGCGTACTTTGAGCACTGCTGCACCTGCGCCGGTCGGGAGAGATAAGCGTGGTTGAAGCGTGACCACGTCTGAACCAGCAGGTGGTCGATTAACTTTAGCTACATAACCACTCTGTTTCGTACCATCTGGTAGAATGAGCTCACCAAACTGCCACGTCGTATCAGGAGTTGCCTGCAGTTCTTCAGTTAGACGGCGTTTCACGCCACGTAGCTCCGAGTTCTCTTCTTCAGTTGCTTCGGTTTTGACTTCGGTGTCTATTGTGGACTTAATATCTTCGCCAGTCACCTCTTCAACAATAGGCTCCCGCTTGACGTGGAAAGCCATAGGCACGAACACTCCCATCGGAGAAGGTACTTTTCCGGCTTGACTTTCCTCCATTTGCCGTTCACGCAGTTCAGCTTCCTATAATACAAATGTGCAGGAGGCATATTCTGCAGTCAACTCTACAAGAATTTAGCACTCCACGAGTATCAGGGCAGCCAGCTTTTCAATGGAAGTCTTGTATTAGATACAATTTTAATTTTTTACTAACCTTTCCAGGTGAAATGATTACTTCAAAGTCAGGTTCCCCTTTACGACAGCTTTTTCGCATCTTTTTTACTTCCAACGCTTTGCATCGACGCGCCTCATCATCACGAGTAGATTGGAGTGACGCTTTTGAAGAACGCATTACTTCAAGGCCCGACCTTAGTACGCTTTCCAGTTGGTCTAAATCGACGTTGTGGTCACCCTGAATGAATATAGGTATCACAGCGTATTAGAGCTTGCACTTTGCTGAAATTATATCTCAGCATGTAATTCATTTTTGCACTAATCTTTTGTTTTTTATAACGTAAGGCTTTTCTTGACGATGCGCACCTTTAATAGGTCAACGAATTCGTCGATAAGCGGTTGTAGCGTCACCATACGTTCCCTGTAGTTGAGGCGGTGTAATCTACGCAAACACTCTGGAAGCCCAATTGTGTCTTCGGCGAGACTCTCTTCCACCCATTCGGGTCCTGGATTTCCTTGTTTCCCGGCTACCACATGAATGTGCGGGCACATTCGATCCATGTACATGTACGTGCGACAGGTGCAACCGTACCTGCGGGACACGAATAAGCAAAATTCGTAATCGCGGATATTAGCTATGACGCACTTAAAATATTGAATAACCGTCATGTAGCCAAACATCAATACTGACCTGAATAATATTCTACAGCGTACTTTATAATATATGCGTATTTTTCTCGCAAACACCAGAATTATACATTTCCAGGTTGCACTTTAACGTCCCTCTGTTGCACATTTTATTAAGCTTTATTGAAGTTGCATATTAACAAAATAATTTCACTACATGTCCCAAACTAAAATGATGTAGACGATACCAGAAAATAGACCACATTCCTTGCATCAATCTACTAGAAAAATTAAACATACGTGTTACATGTACCATTTTGTAAAATGTAATAACTTTATCAAGGCTTTAGATTTATTTGTTATAGCAAATCGTATTGAATGAGACTGCCATTTTACTGACATTTAGTAACATATGAACGTACCTGTGGACACAAACTCCACATTCATCACACCGCCGTTCGCATGTCACGTGAGGCGACTTTCTTGGAAAAACAACCGTTGTGATATTTTCCTTTTTGCACACTTTCTGATTGTTCAATCCGTCCAAGTGGTAGTGGCCAGAAGGCCTATGCAGCACCACACGTACCTCACCAGGCTGGAAGAAATTGATAATTACTTTAAAGAGTCGCATATATTATAATTACCGTATAATACAAATTTGATCTCGTTAATACACCGTACTTACCTTCAGAAATATTCATTCGGTTTAGACAAAAAGAAGCTTCATCCATACCGCCGACTGCATATATGCAACTTGATATATATAAAAGACTAAACATTTTCTTGGCAAGAACTAACACCTGTACAGCGCCGATGCTATTGCTACATCTTGGTTTATATGGATTCTACAAATTGACTACAAAGAACACGCAAGATATTACAGAAGTTTGTCTTAATTGATGGAGCAAATAATTCTACATATATAGCATTCATTTTTGTATATTACTTTAATTGTGTCGTGAGGGTCAATTCTGGCTTTTTCTTCATAAACTTTTCCCTCGACGTCAGCTCCTCCTAAAGCTCGTTCGGAGAGGTGATCATGGATATTTCGTGCGAGGAACACCCTTAAGTAATTTATGTTGTCGCTGACTTTTACCTGTTTTTAAATAAAATTGAATTAGCGGAAATACGAACATTAATGTGCAGCCATTTTAACTGCGGAGCCATGCCAACGGTGTCAGAGATGATGAACTTATGAAGTGGCTTTCAACAGTTCTTGTGACGAAAATTGCTCACCATTGCTCTACTAGGCTGACATTAAAAATGTCACCTTCCTATGTCCAAACCTTGCTGTGTGTGCCCATGTTCCAAACTATGCTAATCTAAGCAGAAATTTCAAACGTTTGGTCCAGAACCATGTGTCCGATGATTTACTCCATTGGCATGTTCATGTAACGAAAATATGCGTGTATGTAAAATACCTACAGGCACATCAATGCTTCCGTTTTTGTCGTCCACTCCATACTTCTTGAAGACAATCTGGAATAGGTTATTATCCAGACAGTGTACCCTACTCAGATTCTGGCCGAAGTAACGTTTTGCGCCCTCCAGGATGATGGCCCTTCGTTTGTAGCCGCGCTCCACCAAATCCTTGATCCACATCTGCGTTTCGACTGACAAACTATATAACAAAACAATATGTCAGGTACAGTTCAGCCTTAATTCAATTAAAAAAACGAAAGCTAACTTTACTACATTATATCATGGATGAGATTAAGTCGGAGCAGATCATATATTTTTAATCTATTAGCCGTACAAAACAAATGGTGAGCTTAGAAGAAGTTACAGCTAAAAAATAATAAATATTCACAAAATATATTAAATAATGTAGTTAGTAAAAATTAATAGTAGCTATTACTTCTACTGTTTATTGTAAAATACCAACCCAAAATCTAGCAAGCTGGGTTTATGGCCAATATGGGTTCTCCAATAGGTTACGAGGATTCGTTCACTGTGCGGTGCTTTGGTGACGACCATGGCTGCTGGACATTCAACTCCTAATTTTCGTCTTGCTGCCCAATCCGCTGCTTCCCCTGCAATTCGCCCACTTCGTAGGCAGCTATATTGGCCAGCTAATTGTCGCCACTGAGGTTTGCCAATGATAAACGTCGACAAGTCTTGTTCTTCGGTTAGTTTTTTCCAGCGCTTGAAAGCAGCCACGTTTTCGAATTCATGTCTGCAATGGCACACAAGGAGTTAGGAATAAAATTGCGTTATAACAATTAGCTATAGTATGAAATCATTACGTTAGTGTGGCAAGAATCTGCTGGTAAAAACGTTGCATGGTTGCATGATTTTGTTTGAGAAAAGAAAACAGATCTGTATGTAGAATTTGTACATACTCGGTGCACTCGAGTCGTTGACCATGATCATCGACGATATGGCGGACAAGCCTCGCGTGATCGCCTTGCTCCTGTCGACACAAAGGGCAGAGTTTCTCAGGAGCCTTTCCAGAATTTCGAATACGATGTCCCCGAACGTGTAGCCTCATATGGCCATATACGTTGGTTAGTGTGGCAAACGTATAACTGCATTCTGGCACTGGGCAGTGATACACTATAAGACATACAGGCGAAAAGTTTAGTTAAACTACTTACAGTTTACAGATGATTAAACTTCCATGACCTACAAGGAATACATTACGCACATACGTAAGTTTTAACCGATGCACTAGTTAGAAAACGCGTTACGTAACGCCAGGCTAAGCAATTTTAATCATACTACGCTTAAATCAAATAAAACACCCCTCTGGGTCCTCTTTGAAATATCCTAAAATATTTCTTGAAATCAGTCTTACCTTTTTTTCCATCAACCACCTCCATGGTTGCTTTTTTAGCCAATCTTTGGCAGTTCTCTTCAGTAATCTCCGTTCTGAAATTTCCGATTTAACTAGTAGTATATCATGCAAAATTTATCTTAAATAAATTTTAATATTATTATGTTAGTTAGTTTTATGATGCATGTAAAGAACAGACACAACAACAGAAAAGCGTCTTCTGATGAGCTCTGCACTTTGCTAATTCACCTCACATGAATAAAGACATACATACAGTTGAAAAACAACATCTTCCCTTTCTTTACATTTTCCTATCATCAAACCCGGGATCAGCGTAGTAAACAACTTACTCGACTAGTTCTGTTCGATCGGTGTTCCAGACAGGCATCGAGGTGGCGAATTCTTCCGGGGGTCGAGGAAAAGCACGCATGTTCCCCGTCAGAAGGACAGCTGAGGCCTCCTCAAATGACGGTGGCGGTGGAAGACGAAGTCCTCGGTCCAGCGGTATTGGAAGCGTCGGTTCCGGTCGATGATTGTGTGCGTGTTTTCTTTTTGATATTGATTAAAAACATGACTATGGGGAAACTATTTGTTTTTTTTTTTATTTTCTGGGATTAAGAGAAACGTATAGATTTTACTAGGAACGTTTCGTCGTTTTGTTTTTCGTATATTTATCAAATTAAGTAACCCTCAAAAACGGTCGCAGTGGGCCGCTCCCATAAACAACGATTTAACGTAAAATTAGGTTGAGCGACATGGCTTGCGAGTTCAGCTAGTATACGCAATTTGCATAAGAACTAAGCTACCTTCTTACGAAGCCACCGTCATGTGTAAGTATCGCGTAAGCGTGACACCGAGCTCCTTTGACTCGAGCAAAGCGGCAAGAGTATAGCCGATGAGGTCCCACCTAAAACAAAGCAGAAATGAGCAGAATGGCAGTTCAGAGGCTTACACAGTGCTAGCAGGCCATACTAAAAAGTTATACTAGTAAAATAGCAATTTTTTGACCTGCGACCGACGCTAATTTCAAATCTTTATAAATCGTTCCTTCTACTTGAAGATGAAATAAAAGGTTGTTTCCGTGAATAATATCATTATTTGTCAATAACCCTGATCCTTTTTAGTTAAACAGAACAGGAACTAAACACGATAATGAAGTCGCATTTCTAAAATAGCAGTTGCAAAATGCATGTGGTTTACATTCGTTCTTACTTGTTTGCGATATCTCATAAGAAATGGACCAATCCCTCTTTCAACTACTAAATCAAGTTCGTCGTTATGTTGTGCGTCTGGTGGCATCCCGCTTAAAGACCCCGGCTGCTGCGATTGTTGCTGATGTTGTTGCTGGAGTGGGTGTTGTTGATCCTGTTGCTGAGGGTCTGATGGCTTCTGTTGATCGTCACGTCTTCGATGTCCTAACCGCTCGTCTAAACCTGCTGATTAACAATTAGACGCAATTAAATTTTTCAGGGAAGATTGGTAATCCGAATAGGAATGAACCTCCTAAAAGAGCAAAATTATTGATAAAAACGAAAACGTAGAACAATACCCGAAATTGAAAGTTGTAAATGGTTATTTAATCTTTACGTATCATCTTTTAAGGCAAGATTTACACACGTACTATATATATATATATATATAGATGAAATGATTAAGCTCTCTAGGTCGTACCAGTTGGATCAATTTGTGGAATCCATCGGTCCCTGTCAAGGTCCCGTAAATCATCTCTTGAAGGATGATGTTGTGAAAGAGGAGGTGCGCGAAGTTCATATGGACCAAACACATCACAGCACATTCGAGCCCCGGAACCGGGTGGCGGTTGCGATACGCTGGGCCCCTCAGCAACCGCAGCTTCACCGTCTTCAACAGCGTAGAAGAACGACATCTTGTGTCTACTACCGTTGGCGACCCTGTAATCATTTATCGACTTGACTACAAGCATAGAAGCCCGTCACGACCACGTAGTCAACGTTATAGCTGTTACGGTAAAAGCTACACGTTTTGAATTGCTTGTACAATTTATATGATTGTTTTGTTTTTTCAAGATAGCGCCCTGGATCTTGTGCTACGAGCACTAGTAGATAGATATTATTGTTATCATCCGTAAAAATTATGACGTAAAAGCCCCAGAGAACAAAAAGTAATCTTGTATGTTTGATTTGAGAGTTTTCAGCTTCGTCAAGACAATAGTACATTCTTAAATCAAATATGATGGCTCTGAACGAGAACTATTAACCATTAAGTTGCTTTATTGAAACTTGTAGAGGTGTAGACGCGACTGCACTCTCTTAAAAAGTGTACTAATCAAAACCAAATACGTGAATAAATGGTTTGTTTTGCTGAGAATAGGGTCAAAATATTAATAGTCAGAAAAACGTTTGCACACGATCTATTGTTAAAAATTTGAAGGCAACTTACTCGTGCATAAATGTCTTATTTATAGTATATTGATAGAAAAAAAATAAAGGATCTTAGATAATACGTCTCTTTACTTGCCAAGGAGAAAACAAGGCTTTATATTTTAATCTCAAAATTTTTGTTTCTTTCTGTAAATTGAAAGAAAAAAATTGAAAATGTATTTGATACATTTGATTAGGTATATCTGTGCTCGACTCCTAAAATTCTCGATTATAAGTAAGGTGTCCTATAATTACCAAAGGAAATGCTACACGAAAAAAACATTAATACTTTTGATACATGAATATTGTGTTATAGCATTACAGAATTAACACCTTTTTTCTGTAACTTTCGAATTAACCAAGTGTAATCGAATTCAACGGGATAATATCATTAGTTAAGCTCAAAGATTTGACATGGCACAAATATCTAAAGTCCAACAAAACGTAGTAGCAGTTCAACAAACAACGGATTTGTATTGTGGTGAACTAGGTCGATAGTACTGTTGAACAATACGATGAAATCAAAGCGCTTTTACTAACGGAAGCTTCAATTCAGAGTTAAGAGCGACAGCTGTTTTAATAATCTTCTATTATCGGAGTTGATCTTCGTTGCGTACGCCATTCAGTGCGGATGTCTGAGCTTGTGCGCGGCAGTGCTAACAGTATTATAAGTATAAATTGCTGTGAGTGCATGTTACGCCACAGCAAGTGCGCTGCATTCCATATCTCGCAGATCTTTTCCATCTTCAACGTCCAGACAAGCAGTAGATAAACGATTAGTTAAGTAGATTAAGTGCGCTCTACATAACTAGAGTAATTAACAACTGAGTAAATCAATTTAAATTAAAGACTTACACTAAATTTAATACAGTTATCACATTATGAAATATTTGTAGTATAATTTAGGAAATCTAGAAACATATTCAAACGGTTGGTGGGCGCCAACGAATCCCTATTCAATCTCGGTGATTGATTCTTTCGGGTTTTTCTTTATGTGACTATTGTATGAGGCTTAATTTACATTATTTTTGTTTGAAACGTTTCAGAGACAATGCACTAATACATCTTGTCTCATCATGGAGCCCTTCAATGTGCACGCAGTACAGCCTATCATGGCCCTCTCTCAATTTCTTCTAAATCTATCGCGCTCATCCCATTAATACGAATATTTAATCTTTATCCATTGTATAAATCCTCCACATATCCTCCTTTTATTCCAACAAGAAATTCTACAGCAGCCGAAACTGACATGAACAACAACAACAATAGATTAATGTTCTTTGTAACTTTGTTGGGTTCCGAGCGCCACAAAATTGAACTGGACAAACCCAAATAAGCACTTGAACGTACAGTAACCGATGCATAATGCTGATACAGACTAGAATTTGATTCCCAAAATCATATTCTTATCCACTCATATATGCTTATAGTATCAGTTATTGTAACAAGGCGCGCAACGACAAGACCCTTTTTCCACCTCGCACAAACACTCTACGATTCGAAAGAAATCAGAGTTCGGCGCTATCCAACACCACGATTCTGTCAAATAGCGGGCGCTAAGCATCTGTTTTCGGCTCCCCACCACTCGCCACCATTATCACGGTTCAGCGTATCCCACAACAAAACACCAGTTCCAATATCATCGGAAGTCAAAGAAGTGAACACATTTGGTCCGAAACCACGCAGTGTCGATAAAGATGTATAAAAAAAATAGTATTAAAAAATCCTATAGGCAGACGTTTTGCCATTCCCATCCGGCCAGCAATAGCGTGACAGAATGTGAACAGGGGCTCTCTTTCCTCTCGGGTGCACTCAGCAAGGCTATACACCGCACTCCGCTTCACTCGAGAAGCGGGACACAGTATCGGTCTACATATTTAGACCTTCGATACAAGACACCCCGACCTTTAGATGTTCTCACCTATCGGCGGCGCTCTGTGTTTGTGTTGGAATCACAAGATCTCCGCGCACGTTCTTAGCGCACCAGTGTTCATCGGTTACACATGATTAAATAGCACAAGTTTAGCAAAGCCTTCATGAGATCCGCAAATAATTTGTACAAAATCTACAGCGGTTGTTTACTAACGCGACATCCTTTCTCTTTCGTCAGGCGTGCCGCCTGCCTTGGAGCGCGCAAGTTTGAAACGGAACTGACCGTAAGAGCACCCTTTTGGTTAAAAACTCACTGTATTGATGCACAAGAGAGTTTGATCGCATGTGTTTTGCCGACTGAAGTACGTCTTATCCAGTGAAACTGTTTCGTTTGTTTTTTAAAATTTATCTATCAAGTGTAGATGCTGTTTCATCTATGCAGCTGTTCCGACCATAGTAAACACACTGGAGCAATAGACAATACAAAATCTATGTCATATTTCGCAAGTTTAACCACTCTTGTAAGAAGCAAATATGACGTACAGCATTCTACTGATAGCTAAATGCAACTATTGTCATACGTTGTAAAATGCTAAATTCGCATTATGAAGCTTTCTGTGCATTCTGTTTAAACCGACTAGGCTTTTAGGCGCCGCTCAGTTCCATCAGCACACGCAAGTTTACTAGTGTGGCGCTAAACGTAAACACAGCTGACCACGTAGGACATCTACCACCCTACTACCCTGCATATGTTTGACTGACAAGCACATTTTTGACGGAATTGTACCCTACAAGAGACACTGCTATTCTACCGTATTTACTGTGCTGATTATTGAAAAATTGGTACTCGCTAGAGTCTTGGGAATACGTGCCAACATGGTGAAGAAACAGCATGTTCCACGAACCAAAGGAAACGCTAAGGTAATGACTCTAATATCTTCGTGCACGTTAGTTTAAGCTTATTTAGACGTCTGATGCTAATTCTACGTTTTGAAAGTGGGCACTGCTTACATAAAATTTCGATAGATTTATGCGGCAAAAGGCCGAAGCTGTAGGAATGTTTATAAAAAGGATCGCGTCTCTGACTTGGTGTTCCCCGAATCCCAAAAAACACGGTATCGTTTTCGAACTACTACGCTTATGTCATGTACGATGAGTTTCATCCAAGGAACTGGTGAACAGGCTTCTTTTTCGTTATTACCCGAACTGAGTATTTGTCATGAAAAAAGTGACTGAATATCGACTTTGTTATTTTTGGTTATCTTTTTTTTTCCCTATAAAAAGTTGCATCCTTTCGTAAATTGTGATCTCGCTTTATGAGCACTTTGGCGGCTTCGGATCAACCAGTTTGTAGATTAGGTACATGAATTCTGTCCCGTAGGTGGATGAGTCGCCACCAGATATATATATATATAGATGAAAAATAAAACAGCACGATGTTTTATTTTACATCTGTATTTCTCTTGTCATTAGCATAAGCAGAGCAGTTCTCACTGCGTGGCGAGATTTGATATTATTCTAATGTCCAGCGAGTATGTTCGCAAATGCTTACAGACGAACGTGAGCAAGAAGTTTTTTTTTTTTCTGAGGTTTTTCATAAATTAGCGCGTTATTGGACATCTACACCGGCTAAAACTCTTCGCAGACTTGTGTATGACGTGTGAATTGGCAGGTATTTTGAAGTAATGCGATTATTCCTTATACCGTTTGTAAAACTCTGCAACACTCCGGTAACAGGAATATTGGGATTAACATAGAAATTGCTCTAATGAACGCTGTGTACTGACTCAAAATACGTACAAATCACACCTATGTATTGTTTTAACATTGTCAAGACTTATCTCTACAACGGGATATTATTGAATTGCTCTCATATTGTACTGTGGTGTTAAAGCTACAGTTTTTTGCCACATCTTATGGATGAAGAACCGTATTCCCTATAAAAAAAAAAAAAACACTAAATTTGCTTTTCGTCACTTACTGCGAAGTAACTATGTCATGTTAACTAGATCACAGTGTGTATATGATTTTTCTTCGCGACAACATACTCCTGTTAAGTCTTGCGGCAGTCGTTTCCACTTTCTCTTCTAAAAGGATGGTACCTGCCGGACGCAGTAGTGATACGGAAGATTCCGACCACATACCTACACCGAGTGAGCCTACGTGATCAAAGTGTTGCGATATTCCATTTTTTCTCAGATAAAACTTTTTGAGCGTTGCAACTGAAAGGCAAGCGCAAAAGGCGGCCATATAAGTATACAGGAGGATGCAATATAAGAGATATCACATTGGATAAATATTGTATATAATAGATGAAGGTGATAGGGCTGATTTAACATAACTACCCAATGCTAGATAAATTGGTGTTGCGTTTAGAAACAAAGCTGCTGTCGACATAAAACGGCGAAAGCCATCAGACTAAAGCGGTGTAATTCATATTGTTTGAAGCCTTAAAGTGTATATGACATTTCACTAACTGTTTAGTGCCGCGTTGTGCTTTAATCATCAATCTGTTATTTCGTACAAATTCTGGATTTGGTAGGCGGCTAACTCGGAGAGATCAGCAGCACTACTGTCATCTGGAGATAGGCAACTTCCTCCGATGACAGCATTCTTTTCGACATTGGCCTCTGCTTCTAATCTAGGTAAGAAACGAGTTGACTTAATTTTTTTGACGTGGACATGGATGTAATGTCCAGCAACGTGTTATAAAATCAGTATCTGTATTTAGATTCGGAGGTTGAAGCGACTGTCGACGAAGACTTTCGTCTTGCGATTAGGAGGCTTTGGAAAAAAGATCCAACAACACGGCTCAAGGCTCTCCAACAAATCATGGGTCTTTTGGAGAATAAGACGCAAGAAAGTATTATGGGAATGCTACCATTTTGGACCAGGAATTTCAACAGATTAGCTGTGGTAGGTTATACTTGTAAGAATGAACCTTATGTTATATGCAGTGCTTAACTAAAAGAGCTGTAAGGACCGTATCAAGCGTGTAGCATAAAACTGATTGGTTAGTGTTTTCGCCTGCGAAATTTTCGCTACAAGAGTATAACATCACGTCATACAAAATCATGGAACGATCTTTTAAAACATTGTATTTCCTAAAAAAATTATTTCCTTTTGTAACGTTAACGTGCCTTCTGTTTTTTGCTATTTGCCTTCAGGACGCCGATCGTCGGATTAGAGAAGCTACCTTCTTAGCCCACAAACAAATTTGCGTCATGACAGGACGCAATTTAGCACCATTTCTGAAGGGCGTATTGGCCACCTGGTTGGCAGGAATGTACGACGTTTATGCTCCGGCAGCGTCAGCCGCTCGCTGCGGCTTCGAAACGGTGTTTCCAGTCCACAAACACGCGGATGTATTTCTTTTCTATTTGAAGGACACTTTATTTGTAAGTTTCCTTGACAAAGCAAACCCAGAATTTATTCTTGCGTTTCATTACCAATGTGAATAAAATATGAAGAAAAAAAATATTTTGGAAGTTCAACCTGTTACTTTTCTCTTGTCGGTAAAATTGTGACATTAAAAACATGAAAAATTAAAAAAGGCCGTGGGAGTTTCTTTTGTTTAATACCATCTTCAGTTTCAATAGCAGTTGGGTTTATACGGTATTTTCATCCTCTTAGCAATTCCGTGAGATCCTGTTTAATTTGACGGTGGCAACAGTTCCCGATAACGCTGAGCTCGACCAAAACGAGAAAAGAGCTAAGCTTGCGAGAATGTTAAACGGAGCTTTTCTGGCGACAGCCTACGTTATTGATGTTATCTTGCAAAATGACAATTCACCTGAGCGCAGTGCCAAAGTAAAGGATCAGGTTTGTTCGAATAACTTGTATGGATTCTTTATTTAAAATTTACACTAGACTTATTGGGAAGGGAAATGTATTGCAGTCATGTAGTGAAGGATTAGCAAGTAAAATTTGGTTACACCGTATCTTTTTATTATACTACTAGTAATTTTACAAAATATTAGCTATATTATAAAACTAAGCCGCACCAGGAAGCTTAATTAATCTGGTTTTAATCTGAAATTTCAGCTTAATCCAAAGATAGAGGAGTTAACTAATGACCCCAGATTTTGGAAATTCGCTAAACATACTGAGTCTTTAGTTAAAAAAGCTTTCTATCGACTCCTTCAATCCACAATCGCAGCGAATATGATCGCTGACTTGGAAAAGGTCACCAAAATCACCCTTTGTTGTCTCGCAGAACAGGTGTGTTGTCGTCAACAAAACATTTTTGCGTGTTTTGGTGGTCATACTCTTACTAGAGGTTCTCAATTACAGTGTTGTTCATTATTTTTCTATAAGCTTAAATTTTTCGTTGAGCTGTCAAACGATAAACTCTAATAATTTGAAGTTTTCCAAGAGCTCAATTATTGCAATTTAGATGTCAGTTTTGTTCTTTTTAGTTTGGTCAAATAACTCATTTGTGTGCAGTAAGTATTGCCGTGTTATTGGTAACATTTCGCAGGATCCAACGCTTTGCTTAACAATCTGGGAAGCATCTCTCCAACTGCTTAGGACTCACCCCAATTGCTGGCAGTATATCAATCTGCAGAAGGCTTTTATGCCTCAACTGAAAACTTTCTTGAACAGCCGTGCATTTGGAAACGCTTCGGCAATTTTTCCGATTTTCCTGCTTTTCTACACACAAATTCCAGAGAAGGAAAGGTAAGTTCATAAACATCTTCAGTTCAGCCGAAATACACCGGTCAATGACCACTTCGGAACAGAAATCAAGAGATCAATGACGTATATTTTAAGTGAAACGCACTGTGACACAAACTTTAATACAACCCTAGAGTGCGCTGCTGCTTTGGTAAGCGTAGTACATGACGCTAACGTCAAGTTTTGTTTCTTTTTTTGACCAGGTACCGTGACCAGATTTTAGCTAATCTTCGTGAAGGATTAATGACAGGAGTTACTTGTACTACGGCATTAACTGAACTCAATGCAACTTCCACAGCCTTTATGGAATGTATCCGCTACGAAATGGTCCACCATGCTGAGACGGCCAGCGACATTCTGAAGGTCTATAACGACCATGTATGTGTTACCATCACATTCAATGCCACCGATTCTTTGCTATATTTCGAAATGGAATCTTACCCAAGTTATTCATTAGATACAGAATCTCTTACAAGCACCCGATTCGCTAGAGAATAAATCATTAGTCACTATGAGCCTGAAACGTTTGATGCACATTTCAGCATTAATCCACATAAGTGATTAATACATTTCTACGAGTTCTTTGAAACTTGACTTCAACTGCTGCTTTTTTCCGCGATCCGGAACTTTGCTTCTGATTTTCTCAGTTGGTTCCCATCCTGCGATCGCTACTTATCTCATCCGATTCTGCATCCGATTGGTCTTCACGAATGAGTGATTCCTGTATTTTTGCTGACTTACAAGACCTGGTCTTATTCCTTGAAAAGAAGTCGCTTAAAAGTAAAGAAGATAGCACAGCTGCGATTCCTACAGACAACGAAAAATACACCGCCGTTGGTTTGTATTTCCAAACATTATTTTTCATGATGTGGAACCTATTAAAAGTTCGCAATAAACATCTTTAGTGCAGCCTAAAACTCTAATCCAAAACTTGGATTTGCATTTCTACGAAATCTGTTGTTTGCCGTGTACCTCAGTTAGAATATTTTTTGCTGGAGGCTAACCTCGTTGGACACGATGATTCAGGGTAGAAAATAAAGCCTCAAGTATAACGTAATCGATATCTAAGATATTCAGAGGACTCGAAAATGCTAACAACCAATAGTCAATGTGAGAGAACCATGAACAGATTAGAACATTTTATGTGCAACACACGAATAAAACATGCTATTACGACATTCAATATGCATATGTTAATTGCAGAATCCATTTGGGAAAATATCTACTCCTTATCTGTTGAAGCATTGGACTCTAATTCCTTGAAAATGCTAAAAAAGTTCTACTACGATCTCAATACGTACCACGAAAAGGCAAAAGCAGACGGTTTCCCTAGAAAAGTAAGTGTGATGCGCTCATACACCTGATTCACCTTCATGTAAAAAATATGTTAATGTAGATAGATGCTTCCCTATTCTATATAAATCACAAGTGAAGGTTAGATCTAAATTAGTTAATTAATTACCCGTCATTTCTATTCCATTCAGCAGGCTCGTAAAGAAGTTCGTTTTGGTCCTTCTAAAGAACATTGTGTGAGTATAAAGGAGTCTTCTGTCGAAAGCGGAGTATCCAGTGGAACCAAGCGACCCGGATTTCGGAACCATAATAACCCGTTCTCTAGTTCGCGGTACTCCGGTATTTGTCAACGTTTTCTCGGCTATCTTTTGAACACTGTGCGCTCCAAGCCGTCGGTTGAGATTGTTAACCTTTTCAGTGACCTGTTTTCCTATAGTTGCTCGAACGCCGAGTTCCTCAGGACTTTTGAAAAAGTAGGTCTATTCGGAAATGTTTTATCTGTTTTCTATGGCGATGTTCTATAAGAGACTATAGACAAGGTTGCTTTTCATTCCTTCATGCTTCATTTTTCTATACCCAAAGTAAACATTACAGATAATAGTTAGAGGACTCTTCTTTATTTGTGACACTTTCGCTCTACGCAATACCATAGAATTCTTCATTCATTTTCCGTGTGCGAATGCTTCTAAATATGCTGTAACTGAAATCGTTATGAGATAGCAAACCAAAGAAAAATTCATGAACTATCCCTGTTGTCAAGGTTAAGTTTCCAACTACTTAGATTTTACATTACAGTTATATCATAATCACAATATGAACATCCTAGGTCATCATATTAATAGCAGTCCAATAGAAAATCTAAAAATATGATGCGCTACTCTTCTCAGATGGTACTTTTAGGACGTACATTGTCGTCGGAAATAGAGGTCTTGCTTGAAGAACATGAAGAGCTGGCACCAGCAGCGGTGAAGGTGATTCTTCGAGTTGCGGCTGTCAAAGAATCGGGTAGTGAGAACGGTCTTACTATTAACGCCCTTGAAGAGGTACCACCGGAAGTATTATGCAAAATTTTATAGACTCATGTTAATTTATGGTCACACCAGTATATGCCGGCGTGGAGGAAAGGCTTTGCAGCTAGTACAATGAATCAAATCGACCATGCTAAGAAACTTGCTAAGAGAACAGCCAATAAGTGCACAAGGTCTTAAATTAGAACTAAAAGTTCAATTGAATTCGCCTTTCAAAAACATTTATGGATTTTTACTAGATTAAGTTTTTGCATGAGTATTTTTTTAATCATTAATTTTGCGATGTGTCCTTAGCGTTCAAACGACCTCCTGTTGGTGATCTTGTCTGAAGCTTTTGAATGCGATGCGCAAAGTACTCCGCTTCTCCGAGACTATTTCAAGAGGAAGTCCTTTCAGAAAGCACTTGATGAAGCCGTGCAAGGCCCATCAAAGTGGGACGTCCTTCAGGCCTGTTTGCACCTCTGTGGAAAAACGGATCTTCAACTCTTTCCTGGTATGGAGTCATCAAACAATTTTCCTAAATTATAGATTTGCTTTACTTGTAAGCAGTGGGTTATCTGGATGGATATGTGCTGTTAAGACGCGATGGATTTGAGTAAATTTCCTTTGACAATCAATTAGTTCTCGTTATTGTTGTTGTTGTTGTTGTGTTTGAATCCTTTTAGAAGCTATTGTTAAGTGGTTAATACAGAAACTCGTCGAGACGGTGACTGGTATATCTCCAAAGGAATTTACAGATTTAGCTGCAGCACTTCCCGATTTGTCTGAAGAACTCCTTCAGTTTTGTGAGGTTGTGCATTCGCTCTTCGATTTGAGTAGTGATGTGTGGACTTTGCCGGTAAGTTGATCTCTAAGATCTGGTATATGACAAAAGGCCCGAACGTTACGTTGTTGCGAGCGAATCAGTACCAATTCTAAAAATAATTCTTTACCTTTTTTTTGTTCTTTGTTGTTTGTCCTTTGTTGACGTATTGTTAACTGCGAAATTCGAATTTAGGCTTTTTACCAATATCCGTTTAGCAATAAAACGGTCTAACACGAGTTCATTTTCGATTCTATGGGTTCTGTTTTAGGACATGTCGACTTTGATTAAAGCTACCTACGAAGCCAGTCTAGAATGGGGAGAATTAGCAGGGGCTGATTCCAGCATTAGCAACAGACAAAACGGCGAAGCACCCTCAACGTCAACACTTACGGAGGATATCGAAGGTCCTGAACAGGTGGCGAACCGTCTCAAAGATGTTTGGGCTGGTGCTTTGGCTCATTCTGTCTATGAACTGGTCCAAGACAATGTCCAGAAAAGTAGGACAGTGGCCCTGAACTGTCGACTCAGTTTGATTGATGACATCAAAATGAGAATATGCCATGCCTCAGAGGGTCAAGTGTAAGTATTTAGGAAGAGCTAATTATACACACATATATAGGCCAAAACAATCCTCAGCATATTTTTGATAAAAAAAAATATTTCTCATCCATCTACTACAGTTTTTTTCCTTACTAACAAAAGCATATCTTTTTTACTTCCTAGTGCAAATTGGCTAGACTTGTGCAAGTATAGCTTATTGAATGCCATCTACAGTTCCTCATGTCTTGAGTCAGTCTCTATATTCACCCGTATGTTTCAGTAAATATCTGACTCGAGCCTCTTTTGAGCTGGTCGGTGATGACGAGGATGACCTAACTTTTCTCAAGAGGTTGGTGCCGTCCTCTTCGGAGCTAGAAACCATCTGCGTTGAGAATCGGTAAGGAAATGTCTTAAGGGTTTTTTGTTCCTTAATATATACCATTTACATATACCATGTAAAACCATTTGAGGTTTGGCTCTTACCTTCGCGGTGTTTTCGAACTAGGATTGGAGATCACGCTCAAAGCTTGGCCTTAACAAGAGGCGAAGGACCTGTTATCCTTTCGGATGGCGATTACTTGGAGAACCCCGGTAAGTATAGATTATCTCAATCCGCATTAGTGCCTTCAATATTTCGTTTCTTAAACCAATAGCACTCGATTCCAGAGACTGATCATAGCTATCCAGGAATCTAATGGTATTTTAATGTTTACTCTATAGGTGAAGTTCTACGAAACACGTGTCAGATTCTGCTAGAAGTGTGTGCTTCAAAGAAAGCGGTCCATCTAATAGATATCAACTTCCTTCTGTTAGCTAATTTTGTTGAGGTAAGTAAAGACCAATACGTCATGCGGGCGTGCTCACAAACATGCGTAGTTTTTCTTTCTAATTTCCAAATAGCTCTCGGATCTATGCTTCTTTGGCTCGCGTTGCTGTTACTATATGCTTTTCCCATATAGAAATAATTTTTTATTAAGTATTAAAACACAACCGATGTGTTTTAGCTGAACGAGTTTGAAGTTTAGGTTGGATGGGCCTAGTGCAATTTGTACCTTGTATTTTGGTCTTAAGTATGTTTCATGGTTGTTTGCTCAACAAAGCTTGAATTGTAGCAAAAATGTAAACCAAAAATATAAGAACTAATAGGTCATGGGTGGAGCCAGCTTTATGGCATTCCGACTGTTTATTTCGAATAAGTAATAGTAACTATCCATTAGTAACAGCATTCCTGTAGAGGCAGAATCAAATCTAACAATTTTCAGTTCATTTTCAGTCGCAGCCTCGACTCAAATTTGTCGTAGCCACCCTCATCGACGATGCACCCAGAGCAGCCTCTGTAGTCATGAACCTGGCGCGTCGAAAAAATGCTCATTGGCACCTCGTGCTTGACTCACTATTAGCTTCAGTGGAAATGCTCCGACCAAATTCAGTATGGCATTGGACTGACTGCCCCCCGGATGTAAAACAGGTAGATCAGCAGCATCTATAAGTGATATCCAATCCGAAATAAACTGTCTCTGTATCATTTTCATCAAAAATACCATATGATTTTATTGGCATACTAAAACTGCTTCAGCGAAGTAGGATATTGCTCATATTGCTACTCTTTACTTTGTTTTTTCAGGTATTTATTCAATACGAACGTGATGAGATGAAAGCGAATCAGCTACTTAGCGAGACGGTGGCTCAGGTAATGGCCTCAGAGGATTTCATAGATCCCAACCTTCTCTGTTTAGCTTCGAGGTAAGTAAAAGTAATAGGAACTAAAACTGAAATTCAGATGAATAATTGTTTTTTTTATACTTTAAAATCCCAGTGAAACAACGTGCGAGGCGTCAAGCTACTATTTAAAGATAACTCGTTGAAGTTCAAGGGTAACGAGGTACCCTCCCAAACGTTATCGTTTAATGTTGTTAAGGATCACCGTGGTGTGGGTGGCTAAGTTGTGGCTGAGCATCCTTTGAGTGCGTTAACATAGTAATCGTGAAGACAAATTGAATTCCAGTTTTACCGAACGATTATTGCGGAATATTGCTACCATGTTGATTTACAGGTCAGTTGAAGAAGAAGCTAGATAAGTTTGGCGAAACCCGTCTACAAAAATGCCTCATGGCTAGAATACCAGACGTAAAAAGATTATATAACATTTAAGTTTACAAGGTTAGTCGAATTTAGGAAATCGATGGACTTATGTTGCGACTGATGCCTGATATAGGTGTCTACGGCGCGCGTCTGGCGAGAGTCGAGATTTGGACACCGTGAGGTTGCTCAATGCAATGCAGGGCTTTAAAGGACGTCAGCCCGGTCTGTTTGATGCTTCTAGGTTAGTGCTAAAGTGAATTTATGTGCTAATGTATGGCGTAAATCCAACCTTTATGATGAACGCTTGTGGGATATTTAGTTACATGGGAGAATATTTCGGCTGTCGTTGTATTTCTATATTCCTAGCAAAACTATATATATATATATAAGGATTGGAGTAATGCTGATTGCGCACGATGGAGGTCAGCATAGTATGGTCTATATGGATTGCGCGGATCGCACCTGAACAGCATTACAAATATCCTCTTAAAAAACAAAAAGAAAATTTAAACAAAGCAGTTTTATTATTTATGGATTTATACTAATTAAACCATTTGTATACAAAAATTTGACTGATTATATTTCATATCGTTTTGATATATATAATTTTAGCCCGACTGGCTTCCATTTGGCTCTATGTGGGTTCTTCATTGCTGTCCTGACTCATTGTCGACCTGCACTTAAACCACTGAATTGGGACTTCATTTTGCTTACATTGACGTCAATGGTAGAAACGTTTTCATGGACGAATCCAACATCGGCCTCCGGTAAAGCCTCAGAGCCAACAAGGGTCGCCTCTCGAATATGGACGGGTTGCGGGATAGCGCTCACGGAGGCAATTTCCCTAATAAGCAAGCTGTCCGCGGAAGAAGATGAAAATGACCAAGTTCCTCACGGAGTGCGCCATGAATGGAAAAACTTCTATCAGAGTGTTATCGTTCAGACACTGATACCTTTAATGACGATGGGTTAGTAGAATTTTCACTGCACGTGCAGCGTACCGAATCATTCTTAGTCAAATTTCTATAAGGCCAGAATGTTATTTGCTATATGCATAGGGTTATTAAGTGAATAGATCGAAACCAAGACACATTAGCTTAAAATAGTTGCGGGAAAAACTTGCCCTATAACCTTAAATCTCGTGGTTCAGATATTAGAAGCTCTACATAACCCATTTTGTACTTCTTATAGCGCCAAAGAAGCTATCTCAACTTCCTGGCATCGTACTGGAAAGTGTGGCACATGCGTACACATTTATGGATCCGGAAGAGGTGAAGAAACACTGGACTAATGGAGATGAGCTGGGCTTTAACGGAATTTTAGGACAGCTTTGTGGATTACTGATCACTGATTCCCTGTCCGTGCAATTCGCTGCATACTCGCTTGCATCTCGGTATGCTAAAGTCTGCTCACGTAAACATGTTCAGCATACACTTTCTGCTGGAATCAGTCCATTTAGTTTCATTTGCACTAACTGCGCATGCACAGGGTGACCTCTAAAGTACTTGACAGCGCATCGTATACTGATATAGACATAATTCATTTTAACTTTGATTGTCGTTTCGATGCGTAAAGTTCTACCAAAGCCTCAGCAAGTACCCAATTTTCGGATATTGACTATCGAAGTAGATGGCTATTTTGTGCTATAGATGATTTAGACTTTTTATAGAAATAGTAATATATGTAATAGCCCTTTTCATGTTTTTTTATGAGTGCATTTTCCATGGGATTCATACATTTATCGAAGTAGTGCCACCAGTAAACTCTTCGGACTCAGAAAATTAGTACTCAGCAACGTATTGATATATGTATATATGTAAATCTAGAATTGTAGGCGAAGCAACGCGAGAACACGATGAATTAGTAGAGGAGCAGGACGATATGTTAGAGGACGGTACTACAGTAGATCGAAATGAAAAAGGGATTCCCATTGATGAGACGCTTCTTGAGTGCTTGAAGGTAAATATTTTCAATACGAAAGAAGGCATCCTCTAACATTTGGAAATCACGCATGGATTCTTTGATTAATGATGTTTTCCGATCCTTGGTTTAGGTGATCTTGGTGAGAAAGCATTGGCCCTAAGCTGTTTGAACAACTCAACTCTATTATTAAATGTAATTCTGTGTGTTAAACTGTAATTATTAATTTGCTTTGCTGTTTACTTTCTAGGACGCTACAATTTCAATGTCCATGCTGACTAAACGATATGCAATAGAAGATCCTCTCCCGGAGGCCTCGCTAATACCCACAGATCGAACGGCTGTGTCCGGATACCTGTTAACGTGCTCGCTTGCTCTTCAATTTTGCGTAAAATCCGCGCGACAGGTACCTGTTCGGGCTCGGATATATGTATATATAAAACTTTTTCTTTTAAATAAAATTTCAACACTAATTGTGCGGTTCGTGAGTTAAAGGAAGTAGAAATTTTTATATTTTCCGTTTATAAACTACTCATACATACTTATATAATTCAATCGATAATGTAACTATATGTATATGTAACTATATCTATATGAAGGTCCGCGCACTCTATATACGGTTTTTGGAAGAGCAAGATCACATGGCTCGCTATCTGCGAAACCTCTTCATTCTTATGCCTCGTCAGCCACCGGTTAACGCTTTTAGTTTTGGCCTTTTGGACGGTAAGTTTCACTAGTTTTTTTTTTATCTTGTACTTTCTGTACTTCAAATTGTCACTTACTTAGAGCGCCTCTATGTTTTTGGTGGGGGGGGGGGATGCATTTGCTGGAATTCGTGTTCTTACGGCATTTACAAGATGAGCCATGGAATGAGCACTAATTTTTTATCCTGTCCAAATTTTTTTTTTGCAGAGCGCCCAACGACACTTGTCCATATTATTTGCTGGTCACTAGTACAGATCTGCACACTAGTGCCCGGAGTCCTTCGTTCTTGGTACATGCAGCTAAGCGACTATAAAGAGGTGAACTATTTGCACAAAGAATCATGAAATTTAACAATCAAGACGCAAATGCGAAAAAAACGAGTAGTACATTGAACGATATGTCCTTTCAGTAGATATAATTGACCACCAAAAGTGTTTAAAAACGGAAAATCAGAATAACGTTAATAGTAAAATTCATTTCTAGGCCCAAATCGTTGAGAAGATAACGACCAAATACGTATCACCGCTATTAATTGAGCGCGAATTGGCCAATGTACGAAGTGGATCTCACCGCCTGGAGAATGTCTCGGTCGCAGCACTACCGTCAACCAGAGAAATCAAAGCAACCTATATTCTCGACGACGTCACGAAGCGTATACAAATTTCTATTCAAATGGATGCATGTCATCCACTTAAGAAAATACAGATTATAAGTACGTCTACCACCCATCGAAATATCGTTATGCAGGATAGGGAATGCACTAAATCAGATCTAGCTTGATAATAATTGTTCCTATCTTATTGCACCCAACATTTAGCGCACAAAATGTACAAGCTCAAGTAGCTATCGCCGTTCTACTAGTATAGCATATCGATAGTAGCCGTCCACCTGCCCGTATGCCATAATACCACCACGTGACGCTAACACGTCGTAATTATAAACAGGAAAGGCCAGTTTCTTATGTTGACTGAGGCGATTGCCAGCTGCTGTTATGATCCTTTTTAAGGCTTATTTGGATGTTTCTAATAGAGGAGCACAAAAGATTACAGTGAAAACTTGTTTTTTACTTTTATGCTTTTTTGTTACTTCAGACAACTGTGAACAGGTGCCGGTGTCCGCACAAAAGTGGCGTCAATGGCTCTACAATTTGAGTTGGTTTCTTAATGAAAACGGCTCCATCCAGGAGGGATTGTCGAACTGGAAACGTAAGCTTTCGCAAACGCCATTGTATTCCATAACGAGTACAACTACTGTATAAAGATAAAAAATTAAGCTTATCTTTCTAATAGTGTTAATTCATATATAACCCTAATACATTTCGTGTAAATCAATGATTTTAGATTATCCCATAGAGCGCATGAAAACGATCGGAAAGTGACCATGTTTTGCATGATTAACATTACAGAAAATCTCGACCGCAGACTTGAAAACGGTGGTGAAGAATGTTGTATTTGTTTCTCGGTTGTGCATATGACGACTCTCCGACTACCAAATTACCCATGCCGAACATGCAGGAGAGTGTTCCACAAAACGTGTATTGTAAGTAGGAACATTTGTTTTCGTTTACTCTTATAAACTCGATTCTTTTTTTGTGAACGCAACTTACCCACTGTATCTTCCATACGTCACACATCCTTCCAATAGATTTTTACTCCACACATTCGTATAACACTCTCGACAAGCTCCATACCGTAATAGTTTCTTTCGACTCGTAATCATTAATACAGCAACTTCCCTAATATTTAAAGGAGAACGTAGTACCTCTGTGTTTGAATTTGGCATTACCGCTTCATTAACTTGCTTTTTTTATTATTATTGCAGTACAAGTGGTTGCAACATGGCCACGCAACATGCCCGGCCTGCCGAACGCTCATCGCGTAGATAACATTAGTTAGTCGCTTCCGTACCTTTGGCCCCTAATGGAAGTGAGCCGCTTTGTGACAATATGCGTCTGAAGACAGCATGAATGGATGCGGGCTACTGAGGAATTATGTGGTGCAATGCAGTTTTCTTTAACTATTAGTTTAACTTGACTTATAATTGTGTAAATAAAATGGGCTAATTTTTACAAAAATTATTACATTATTCTCCCTTCGGAAATATCCTGTAAATATATGTAACAGTTTTAAGCTCGGCGTTTATTAGGAAAACTATCATTTGTGGTTGGACAAGTATAAAAACGATTAAAATAATGAGTTGACTTCTACAGATAGTAAACAGTACAATCACACGTTGGACAAAGAGGGTATACATTGCATTGGGAAATGAACTACACATAGTATTGCGTTT